GCATGCTAATATGCATGGAACCGTTTGAACAAGGTCCCAATGGTTGTTGTCTTTGACTGCTGCCGCTTGAGTTTGGCGCGTTGTTCAGCGACACAATGTGTCGGTCCTCCTATCGGAACTTGAGGAATGGATGCGTTCTTCTAAGTGGTGTAGATGTATGAGTACAAGCTCTGACTAACATTTTACGCTTTCACAAAAAAAGTTTTGACGTTGGAACTTCTTCAAATTGTGCCAAACGCATAACATCTACACACATGGTAAACGTGCGCTCAATCTTTCTTTATAGCCTCTCTTTGGATATGAAGACTACTTTTATATGCACCGTAGTACCACAAACAGTTGTTTCTCATCACTCATAACAATTTCAGACGAAAAATTCCCACTTGTGGCTCCGCATACGGGTCGAAAGTTGCAATTGCCGCAATCGCCAATTTTTGCCTCTCAAAAAATTTTGCTTTGATAAGTCGTAAAAGAAGGGGATTCAAGTTTGCTCCAAAAACGAACAACAGTTATTGTAGAGCAAGACTTTCTCTTTTCATTGGTATAGGTACTTTGCCGTAAACCAACCGCTTCATCGAAAAACGGCGACAAAAATAAAAATCGACGAACTTGTGAAACGACCTAATAGAATTTCGGGAGCACCCTAACAGCATTTACGTGAGATGTGCGAAATCACAAGCCAATCCGATAATTGAAACCTGTGAAATTGTGCGCCAAACGGATCCACGCGACATTTCGCGCGCCGAAGTGGGCCTGTAATTCGACTTTTTCCAAAGTCACAGTTTCGTTTAGCAAGTGAATCCGCAAACTATGGACTCCAACCCGAAAAGTGAGCAAAAAGTTTACTTCACGCAAGATGGGCACCAAAAAGGAATAATCGCGTAGATGATCAAATTGTCAAGGTTATATTTGGGAATGTGAGGAAATTTTCTTCGCAGAAATGTAACTCACGGTTGTCATCATCTTTATGACGATTATCAAGTCATTATAACTCCAGTAACTGATTCAGAATCGCATCTGATCTTTGGGAGAATACTTTCTTTCCCTCAAAGTCACCGATCACACATGAAAAGTCTTTAGAATGAGTAGTGGTTTACATTTCATTCGTGATGATCGATATCGCGAGGTTGGTTTCAAAACCATCATTTTGGGACTACGAGGAAGGCAAGGGATATTAGAGCCAGTGAGAGTCTCTGCGAAGCAGAGGTGACGCAGTGGTTTACGATAAAGTGAATATCGAAGTGAGCATTACATAAATAAGATTGTATTTTGATCGTACATGCATTTACGCATGAAGTGACGTGGCAATATTACGAAACACGAAACCCCGGGAAGTTCACTTGTGTTAGATACCAGAAATTTCTGCATTTTTGGGAATTTATCAAGAAGATCCTTCGGGAAGTTCCTAAATGCGTTGACATCAAAGTTCTCGGGATATTCCTGTTTCTGCGCCTTTATTCATCTCTATATTTACTGAAACCCTCGGGAAGTTTGCCAAAAGCTTCTCGAGAAATTCCCATAAATTGTCTAAGCCATTGCGTTCCACTAAAATAGTTCGTGCAGAGAAGAGACAGCAGACCGTTAAAGGAATTACAAAACGCTAGATTAGAAAGACGCCGATAACATCCGCATTAATGCACTTCGCGTGCAATAAATCGCCCATATATCAATATATCAATAGGTGCCAGGTATGCCAGCGTCTTTTGCGAAATGCGATACACATCGCGCGATTTCTCCTGTCTATGATGTTATGGATGCATTGAGATTTTTTGATGCGCATTCGCCAAGTATCGAATGCAGTGATGTCCAACATTGAAATGTTTAATTCCCGTAAATATACTTGCTTACTTACAAGGGAAAGATACTTAATCGCACTGACGATTGAGTAAGCGGTGTATACCGCGCATACCGTCCCCAGACGGTGTTCTTTAAACCGCATTCCATATCTGCTATGACGTCATTCTGGATTTATGGTGCAGTGGATTGTGGCTTGGACTGCACTGGCCGTCGTGGGTTCGATTCCTCAGGAAGGCCACTCGTTTTGCATTTTTGTAAATCTTAGCAGGCAGATTGCAAAACCTGTCTCATTAGAAAAAGTTGATTTTTACAATTTTAAGCAATATATTTGCATTTATTGGCACTAAAACACCGTCTAACCTAAAAAACACTCGTTTTTAGCCTTAAAGATTGCAGTTTGATTAACATACTGTGCATCAAAAAAATCGATAAAGACGCTATTTTTGACAGGTTAGCTGCTCCTCTCTATGTTAAGCGCGAATTCGGAATTTTTCAATGCAAAATTGAGTAAATTTTAATGAAAAGGCTAAAAACGAGTGTTTTCTTTTAGATTAGACGGTGTTTCAGTGCTAATAAATGTAAACATATTGCTTCAAATTGTAAAAATCAGCTTTTTTCAATGTAGACGGTTTTGCAATCTGCCTGCTAAGATTTACAAAAATGCAAAACGAGTGGCCTCCCAGAGGAAGCGAACCCACGACGTCCAGCTCCGCAGTCCAAGCCACTATCTACTGCACCAAAAATCCTTTATGACTCTTCCAGAATGACGTCATAGCAGATATGGATTGCGGTTTAGAGATCACCGCCTGGGGACGGTATACGCGGTATACACCGCTTAGCCAATCGTCAGTGCGATTAAGTATCCTTCCCTTGTTAGATACTCAGATGACATGTCCTCACGTAGCGTGCAGCGTGCAGGCGGCAGCACAGAAGTTGCCACTCAAACTCTGTATTTCGCTTCTGACATTCACGGTTTTCTTGGTAGTCGTAGGTGGCCGCGTCTGTGAGTTCCGAATGCAGGATTCGTATCCAGCTGACTCAACAGCTGGTTCAGTTTCACGGAACATCTGCCCGTCTTTTGGTGGTCTTCCTTGAAGACGTTATCTTCGCGATAACACTTTAACGTTCTTAATGTCGTCTGCCGTCTGTTCTTTCAATGACCGGTCTATTTTACCCTTCGCGACGCGTAAACAACCACCTGTGCCGAGCCCTGGACTTAGTGAATATTAGCTGGATCCAGCGGTTCGCTTGGACCGAAGCTCATTCAGCTCCGCTTAGCTCCGCTATTTTCCGGAGTATAAGCCACACCTTGTATAAGCCGCACCCGCCGCAGCGAACAATGGCGCGAAAGCGCCTTTGAAAAGAGCTATACAGCAAATTGAAAATTCGGTGCGCTCTAGTACGGATAGTCATGTCTTTACTTTTTTCTTGTTTCATATGACTTTGCGGGTGTTTAGGTTGTGTTCTTTCCCAAATGATACTACTAATTGACTTGCTTTCCTTTTTTCAGTGACGTTGTAGTGCTGAAGTTGTGCTTTCTTTTATTTTGATTTACCGGTTTGAAGCTTATGACCTTTCGAGTTCATGTTACTACTGGTAATCAAACATTCTTTCATTGTTCAGCGGATTCTTCAAGAATAAATGAGAAGACAGAGAATTTTGTTACAAACAAATGCACTTGCGAAGAAACCAAATAAAGAACAAAAGCAGAAAGCCCGTATTATAATAGATTTAAGGCGAAATAGATAGTAGTTGCTGCTTGTGCGGCTTCGCGCATCGCGAAGACATCGCATTTCAGCCCGCGCGCGGTGAAAAGAAATGCGGCTTATACTCCGGAAAATAGGGTATTTATATAGATCGAATAGAGTAAAGACTCACCCCCCCCTCAACTTTCCTCCTTTTATTTTCTTCACCTTCCCCCTCGCTCTTCTTTTTTCTGCTTCTATTGCAACACGGGCAGCAGCGCTTCCGTGATAAACTTGTCCTCATTCTATCGCTTCGCTTCAGAGCACCGTATCCTCCTCATAAACGTAAATAAGATCCATCGCCCCTCATACATGACTATTTGGAATAACAACCTGGTAATGATTAATGAGCCTTCATTTTCCAATGTATAAGTGAACAATAAAATCGATAGGCGGACTGCTTGAATGGCTACGAAGCTCTTTATACAAGAGAATAAAACGAATAAAAGAATACAAATTCAAACGTTCGATGAATTTCTTTGGGGTACCTTGTACATATTAACACAAACTACATGTGAATTAACCCAGCATCATTGCTTTCACAACACGAATTGTACTTCTCAATGTCTGCTACCAAGTTCAAAAAAACTGCATTGTTGGTATTTCAGATTGAATCACCCTGTCATCAGAAAAATATTCCTGCATAAGATGTTTGATGTGTTTAGCAAACTCAACTAAAATTGTGAAGATTTTTACTTAGTTACAGATAAGATCTTCTAAGTTATGGTGCCAAAGCATGACAGCGACATCTTCTTTCAGCAGAAATTACGCGACAACCACCATTGAACTAAAAATCAATCTTTACGCTGGGTATTGCATCTCAGATGATTTGCATCGGCTATAAGCTTTGCAAGAATGCTTATAAAATCGTTCTTATTGAAGTAGATATTTAATGGATGGGTGGAAAACGGCATCCTCTGCGAGTTGCTGTGCTTTACCGCAAGCGACACGCTCCAATGCCAATCCAAATCGTCCATTAGAAGTCTGTTGAAATGAGAAAGTTCATGGCAAAGATAAAGATTATGAATATCCTTTGTTCTTATATAGTTAGATATTGTTTCAAGTAGAAAAGTGTTTATTCCTATTCGGCATCGCACTGGCACAGCGCTAGATCGATGCTGAAACGATGCTGGCACGTCTGCAGTTTTTTTCCATACATATGTCAATGACACTTTAACTCACTTCTAAGTAATGCTTCGCAGACGAGGACAGCATATTTGAAATCAGCTTCTCAAGCCGATTTCAGATATATGCGTCGTTTGCTGGAAAGTCGACCTAAGTTAGGTGCCTTTTCTGTTAGAAAGCACCTTGAACTGACGCTGTTTATATATTGCACATACATGCGTAACAGTGGCCGGACAGTTGGTTAATGTAGTTACACCAGAGAAACGACCAGTTTTATTTTGTTAACAATAAAGCAGCTTCAAAGACTGAGTGTTAACAAAATTTTATTGTGATCTGCAACTTCTCAAACTTCCTCTACGGCAATGATCGCCATTAGATTTTCAAAAATCTTTCGTTCCATTAATGACTGAAATACTTTATATTAAGCTTCTTCAGAGTTAGAGCACCTATTTGGTAGCTAGTGGCTGTATAAGTAAGCTCAGATATCGCCGAGAGCAGGCGGGGACCGAAAAAATAGTTCGCTGATTTCTTGCGGTCCGCTTGCAGATACTTAGAAGAATGTTGGCGAAATTTCAGACGAATGCTCGAAAAACAATCGCAGCCTTTTCATGGATTAGTTGCGGCGCAGTAGCCGCATTCTCGCCGCGGACTTTTCGCGAGAATATGCAAAATTGTTGAGAGCCGCACGGTCCTTTCTGAGGGACCGCACAGCCCGTAGGTACTTTCCGTTGAGAGAAAGTACCAAACTCGGATAATTAAACCACCGGTGACTCCTCTGCGCAGAGTGTTACATTCTCTCGACGTCCGGCCGAAAATGCTCAACAAGAGTTAGAGCGCTCGCTGAAAATTTGGCCGGCGCTTGCTGAAAGGAGTTATTTGACTGTCGCTTGCAGAAAATACTGTATTGCTGCCCGCTGGCAGAACATGCGACAGCAAAGGAAGCCCGCTCGCTGAAGGTTTGGCCAGGCCCCTATATTTGGGTGACCCCCTGGAAAGAGCACGAGTTTGCGGTTCGCCTGCCCCGGCGATTGTCTGAGAAGTGCCAGAGTGCTGAAGCCACGTCAGCGCTGCGCCTCCGGCGCAGTTTCGATCGATACACGTGCATTCGTTAGAGGCGGGGCTAGTTTTCCCTATGCCTGCAAGGGCTACCGGAGCTTTTGCCAGAGATTTCGACCAACAGTCGGTGCATTTACCTGAGTAAGAACTAGGTCAGCTAGCCCCGCCCCGAACGAAATGCGCGTGTATGATCGAAACAGTGCTACGACAGCTCGGCCCTAGCTCGGCGCTGGCGCAGCGCTGGAGTGGCTTCGGTACTGTGGCGGAAGCCGAAGAATTTCAGCTACTTAAATGCAAGTGTATATGGTTACAAAACATTGCAATCTTACAAAGTCATCAAACTCACATTGTAATTCTTTGATCTAATTATGTCATCGGTGCTCGCAACTATCTTATGCACTCTCGCCTTCGATGCCGGATCTGTGTCATACTTTTTTTCATGGGCAAGAACATATATAATTTTTATCGATCTCTTGCGTGCCTGAAATACATGATAATTGAATTCAAAACTTCAAGTCATAATAGCAAGCCTAACATTTTGGCAACTATGTGCACTGTTGACTGTTTGCAAGCCGAAACAAAGATGAATCGGGAAATTCCATGAAATCAAAAACGATGTTAAGTTGCTGGGCATGTCTTTCACTCAATGAATATATCCTAAGAAAGATTTCATTTTTGAAATCATTAAATTTGAAACAATCAATCACAAAAAACCATTAGGTGTGGTTACGGTAGGTCTACGATAGAAGATTATAATCACGGATTCAGGTGATCTGGCTAGAGAGGTTTCCGGAAATGACAAGTACCATATTTTTTTCGCTTTGGTGTGCCTTTTTGTGGACTTACTGTAGGTATACGATAAAGTTCAAAACCACTTTTTTGACCTACTCGCCTAACGAGGAGGTGTTTGGCTCATTAAACATGAATGGGTAGAGGACATTAGGTCGCCATTAGGCTATACCCATGCGGACAGATAGCAGAGGCAGTGATATAAAGGCTTGCGGTTTGTTGCAAATGACCGCGCGGGACCGCTCCTCTGGGCGACTCAATGTCCTCACCCAACATGAATATCTTGATTTCGCAAGATGGGCCGTTTCCTCGGGTTACAGTCGGTAGGTGATCGAAGTTCCAAATCTGCTCAAAACTTTGCCTAGAGGAATTTTCAAGCATACTGACCACAAATGTTATGCTTCCTGCTGCAATTACACCTTATTGCAGCCAAGCCTCCAAAATCTTAGAAAAGGCTTTTTCGTTAAAATGAGAACAATATTCGCGATCAGCACTCCAGATAAGTCTTCAACACAAAGTCTTGAGCAAATTTATGATTCTAACACCTTACCATGTACCTATTGCAGTGGCGGTCCCAGGATTTCCGTCCTGGGGGGGGGGGGGGCAAAAAATGTTCTCAAATGAAGATGCGTGGCATTAGCCATTCACTCCCAAAATTTTTTTGGGGTGCTTCTGAAAACTTTTGCAGGTCCCCAACAGGTCCCTAAAATTTGGAAAAAGGGGACGTGGCGTCAGATACGCTTCCGAAAAAATTTTTTACAAGGTTAATTTGAATCTTCAAGAATTTTTAAAAATATTTTAATTGTTTACAAGAATAAACAATTCACTTGTACATTTCTATACACATATAAGTGATTTTCAAAAATTTCGCGACCCATTCTCGCGGGGAAGGGTGGGGGGGAGGGCCCTCGGTCCGCCACTGACCTTATCTCCACAGAAAGGTCCCAGAACGCAAGATGTGAAGCTGAAGCTGTGTGAGCTGAATACTACGCATGCACAAGAGTCTGGCATTGGAGTGCGATATTTCACAAAGCGATATATGAAGAAATGAAGGCAAAAACAAAGAAAGGCCTGTCTCTATGATCTCTACGATCTATGCCTGGCCCTGACTACAAACACTGTGCTCAGCTGTTTTCTACCTTTGCAGTTTACGTATGGTGTCGGAATGGAACTTTAGAAATTTGTGAGAGGGATTCATCAGATCAAGTAAATGATACTTAATTCTTAGTTAAAGTTATGGAGTTACATTGAGGTAATTTTTTATTAGGAACTAGTGGGCAAACCCGGCTCCGCCCGGGCCTGTCAATAATATATTTGTAATCAGCATGCTCGGTTACCCCCCTGTGCCAACTCCCAGCCCTGTAGCTCAAATTTTGCAAAAAATCGATAAAATCGATATCGATCGATAACGAAAAGTAGCCTATGACACGCTCCCTCCCGCGAAGTATATGTGTGCCAAGTTTGGTCCAAATCGGTTCAGAAATAAAAATTTCTATTCCGCACATACGTACAGACAGACAGACATACATTCAGCTTTATATATAAGATTCTAATATTACGGTTTGCACTGATAGGTAAGATAATCCTATTACGTCTCTTTAGATTCAAAGATTAAGATTTTTCACTCATTAGCGGACGTTACTGCCAGAGCGAGCTTTCCTTGTTGTAAAATCCCCAATGCCTTCCAAGCATTGCAAATCATTCCTCTTTGATTTTACACAGACAGATATAAATAAGCACATTGTTGTGCAGTATAGACTACAAATGACATCATCCATCTGGTAATTTGGATAGGTAAACATCTCCGAAGCATTTTTTTACCCCGATCATTTTTGACTCAGGTTCACATCCGGTGGAAGTACAAATATTTTCAAAACGTCTAAAATCACGAAATTGCGCAAACGCCTGGACTTTCTGCTGTTAGTCAACAAAGATACCTCATTTTTGGACTGGGTTTGATATTTGTTAGCATGTCAAATAAGCTCTAACACAAAGTTAAAATGTATTTGAAACTATCCTATAATTCCTCCAATTATATTCCGTAGGCTGAGGTCGTGGTGTCCTTCAAAATATAGAAACAAGAAATATATTAGGTCGTTTCAAAAGTAATTTCGCTTTTTTTTCAAACGGGCGCCACATTTGAGGAAACAAATGTTTCCAAGAGATCTTAAGAGCATTCGACGCAGCATTTCATCTTTTTTCTAATGGTTATGAAATTCTTGCAAAACAGTCAATGAGCTTTCAGAAAATAACCTAAATGTGCGACCTACGCTTTTTGAGATGGCCAAGTTTCACAATTTTTTAAAACTTTCATAATTTGCAAGAACAAGCTCTTACTGACGTAATTAAAGAAGTTTATAATAACAAACTCGAATTAGAATCTACACATCTAAATAAAAACACTTGCAATTACCTAGACTTACATATAAAAATAGTAAATGATAGAATAGTAACTTTATTATACAATAAAACAGACAGTTTCAACTTCGAAGTAAAAAAAATTTATTAATTTTGATTCCGTGTTTCCATCAATATTAAAAAAGCTTTGATATACTCCGAAACTTAGGCCCGTATGCACGTACATCCCCGCGGGGAGGGGAGGGGATCTGAGAGGGGAAGCGCCATATCTCGCTAGTCTACATAGCTTTCTCCCTCGTTATTTATCTTGCTTATGAAGTTTCTCATACACTGATACGTGCGCATTACGGATGCCAGGTTACTACCAAACAAGATTAGATATTCACTATTTTTTCTGATCCCCTGGGATCCCCAGGGGATCACCCTCACATTTTCGAAGTCATTTGTCTTCCTGACAAATCAATGAAAACGCTGCAAAATTGTACTGAAGATATACTACGATACTGCTGAGCATGTTTTCGACAGAAGAAATGGAATTTGAAAATTTTAATTTTTTCGATAATCCCTGGCTCGCGAGCAGCGGTTCATCGAAGATTTTGACATCTTGAGATTTCACTCATTTCTACCATAAACATGTTTAGCAGTGCTGTACTATATCCTCAGTACAATTTTAGAGCATTTTCATTGAGTTTTCAGGAAGATAAATGACTTTGAAAATGTGGGATGATCCCCCGGGGATCCCCAGGGGGATCAGATGAAATAGTGAATATCTAATCTTGTATGGCAGTAACCTGCCATCCGTTATGCGCAATTATCAGTGTTGGAGAACCTTCGAAAGCAAGACTGAGAAAGAAGAAGAAAGATATATAGAGTAGCGAGATGTGACATCCCCTCTCAGATCCCCTCCCCTCCCCAGCGGGGATGTACGTGCATACGGGCCTTAGAATATCACGTACATGTAGTTTTTTTGACAGATTTCACCGATAAAGTACTGCTAATGATTAACACTCTTTTGAACAACGGCTATAATAAAAATATAGTTCTAGCTAGTATATACAAATCTATAAATAGAAATACATCTATAGTATACAAATACAACATTGATAATTATTCTTCTTAAAAAAATTTTTGATGTTTAAAAATATTGCTCCTAATTTTACATACTATAATATAAAATTGAACAGCATTCGATATTAAATAGTTAATAATTTACATTTATACATACCAAACTAAACTAACAATAAAAACGAATCCTCACAAAAGACAATAGCTTATTCGCAATGCGAATGAGCTAACCTTATTGTGGGATCCCCACGCAGAACCAGGTGCCGGGCACAGAGTGTATGCACAGACGCGTGAAGAACTTGAACCTTTCCACGCTCACGGCACTCTTCCGGTCCCTATTACCCGATATCCCATCACAAGACATGTATGAAACTTATATGGGGAATTAAAAAGACTTACTAACAACAAGACGGAGAATGTTTCTAATGTTGTATAAAGCATGGAACAAAAGTTGAATTCCGTCAACACTTATGAAAAATATACCCAATAACGCTCAACTACCTATTTTGGAATCGAAAGACGATTTTTCTCTGCAAAGTTGGCGTCATGCCCTTTGATAAAGAATTGGATGAGACTAACAGTTAAGTCACGAAGAGGAATGTATTAGAGGATGCTTCGTGTGTGACGCTTAAAGTGATAGAGACCTTCACTTTGGTGGTTTAACTTGGTTTTTTTTTGAAAGCGGTTGATATCGATTGGAAGAATCAAAATTTCATAATCAATAAAGATTCGAAGTCAAGAACTGAGAATTATACGCAATCTTACGTGTTCGATGAGGTGTGACTCCAACCAAGAGAGAAGCGTTCAACATGGTGCAGACAGTTGGAGAGGGGAAGAATTTTACTCCCGACGATGTATCAAAGTATCAATATCGCACTCACTCCTCACCGTTCAATGTGAGCAGTCGAGATGAATGAAAACCCATTCGATAATGATTATGAACAATTCATTCAATAACAAGTTAGACAAGTTTGGGAAGATTCATTTATGAAGCGAAATGACAACGAAGATCTCCTACAAGACAAGCGTATTCAGAAAGAAGTTCAAAGTGAAACAGCCAACCGCAGTGGACGAAGATAAACGAGGCGAGTGGGAAACTATAATCTGACAATGAAAAGGACCCAGATAAGTCAATCAGTTGTCAAAATAATCAATAAGAATCAATAAAACTATCATCTTTAATACGCATTTAGGCTTAAGCTAGTTAGAACAAAAATTATCAAACAAATGATTTGAACTAAATGTTTGAAATATAAGCTCTAATATAAATTTCAAATTTATATGGAAGATGAGTTATTTTAATTATGGCCATCCTTCTTTACTGAAGAGTTCCGGGGATGGCATAGAAACAACGCAATACTCCGTCTAAGGATAGGAACGAAACGGAGTTCTCAAATTATTATTATAATTATGAGCACTATTATTTATTATTTATTATTTCATATCAGCCCTCAGAAGGAGTTCAAGTAACGATTCGATAGAGCAAACCTTATAGAATACAGTACCGCTTTTTCCTCCTTTCTATAGCTTGTCATACATTTTTTACAGAATTTCAACTGATGCTACCGATTTCCATACTTGGACAGCTAAATCCTCGTAAAACATCAAAAGAAGGGCGACTCGCACACTGTTCGATGCAGCATTTTCTCCTCTTTCTAGCTTTCTGTTTCTTGTTTCCGATTCGTTTAGTTTCCGGGGATAAAATTATCATAACCCATTTTCTTAGCGAGCCCCAGGCTGTATTCGAAAAACTCGAAATTTGATACTTCGAACCCGTAAACCCTCACTTGCTTTGTAAAGATGCTAACTCATGGTACCATCTTGGTAGTCTCAAATTCCGAATAGTTATGATGTTTGATGCCATTGTGGCTGATGTGGGCCTGTCAGAATCCGATGGTTTTGTTTAAAAAATCTTTTAAAAAATTACGGCGAGCCATGAGAAAGAGAAAAAGAAATACTGTATTTTATAAGGTTTGCTCTATCGAATCGTTACTTGAACTCCTTCTGAGGGTTGATATAAAGTTTTAAAAAATCGTAAGACTTGACCATCTCAAAAATCATGGGTTGCAAATTTTGGTTGTTTTCTGAAAGCTCATTGAATGTTTTACAACATTTTCATAATATCGGAAAGGAAATGAAATTCTGCATAGAATGCCTCCAAGATCTCTTAGAAACCTTTGTTCGATCAAAAGTGGCGCCAGTTTGAAAAAAGTGAAATTACTTTCGGAATGACCTAATATTAATCTCAGACAATAAAAAAATTGGCTTATGTTGCAAATTTATTGTAGCACTCTTCACTATTTTCATTACATAGCATGATCAAATCTGGCTGTCCGAGAAATTTAGATCATTGAATGGTGTCCTTGGATAAATAAATTAATGTCTTATAACTTACGAGAAGCTCAAGAAATGTTTGAAACTTGTGCAATGCACTGCGTGCTGCAAATGTCCAAAGTGTGTTTATTTGACACATCAGTGTAACTTGATTATAAAAAGATTTGTTAAGATTATTTTAAGAGCAAATGTATGTATTTCCTTGCAATGTCATGAAAACTTTCGGCAACCGAGGTAATGACTGGTTCAGGAAAATAGGCACATGAATTCGAGACCGTGAATGTTACCAACTACGAGGCATTTGAGGAAATCTTACCTCTTCTGCTTCCTGCGCTTGTGGGTGTTTTTTTATTTCATCTTTCTTCTTCCGGTCACAATTTTCTGCTGGATCATTCCAAAAACATGCATCATTGTCACCATCAGAGATGAGAACAATAATTTTTTCATTTGTCGTTTCGTTCTGAGAACATAGGTTGTAAATTCTGTGGAATCGTCAAGATAATAAGAATTCAGAGACCTCTAGCATGATGCGAGCTTTATAGATTGCCACACCAATAGCTGTCCACTTATTACCCCATTTCGCCGAGTTAACATAATCTCTAAAATAATAATCATTCCAGCGTTCGATCCCGTGTGCCTTATCCAAAGTGGGCTTCGGTGTTTTTGTACGACTTATATTTTTCTTTCAAGTAATTCTGATTTTACTAGAAGATAAATAAATTGTTTTATAACTCAGTTTCTTCTTTGCCACGACAGTTTTTTATAGTAACAATTTATTGTGCTGCCTAACATTTCAACGGATACGCCGTCCTCAGAGGCCTGAAAGTGAGTCAATCACCTTCTCAAACGCATTATGCCATCAGACGCTTCGACCAACTCGCACGTTTGACTCGTCCAATGCAACCGCAGTCCAACTTCGAAGCTTGATCAACTTACTAAGACTCCCAGAAAAGAACATGACAAAGGTCTTTAGGTCGCCTACAGTGTACGGTAACAATAAACATTCCAACTGGTTTGGATATGTTTAACTGGCTATAGGCTATCGGAACCACAGAATGATAAGAATGGCTCTAGATCATTCGTCATAGACAACTTTCATTCTTGCTATTCAACTGCGAGCAAGAATGAACGCGCTTCTAACACCTTTCGAGCAGAGATGTTATCCTCAATTACCAGTATGCTGCAATTTGTTTCAGAGTCTTCGTTGCCGTGATCTTCCCTTCTATGTTTCCGCAATGGGCTCACAAAGCTTTGTCTTCTTTTATTGGCCAGATGTTCATTTACACGTATAAAAAGCGGTCGACCGGTTTTGCCGATGTAAATGACCCGGCAGTTCGACATTCCAACTGATGAACACCACTTTTTGAGCAATCTCCTGATTTTCCGTTCGTGAACACAACATAGTTTTTGCCATGTGCAAGCTCCATCGTATAATCGATTTCGCACCAGTTGTTTCTTGATGTTGTCTTGCGGTAAATTCATTAGAACAACATCATTATTCAACTGTGCTTGCGTCACACATCGTTTAACTGCGTTGGTTTCTTCGTCGCATATGAACGGCAAGCATAAAGGAACACGCGTTTAAATTTGATTGCTTGAGTTCATGTATGTTCGTTTGGAGGCTTTGGATTGCAGCGAGTATCCATTGTTGGATGCTATGACGCGTGCCAGTTCCAGAAACTCAAGTCTCTCACTTTCTCCGTTGCACACACTGCTGACTGTCTCAAACATGTGCGGATGACACCGCACGTTTTACGGCAGACAAATGAGCGGATATGGCGTGTAAGGTAATGTTCCTGCTGCTCTCTTTCCCATACCACTTAATGTGTACAGCGCTGTTTGCTATCATCACCTGTGTGTTTAGGTAAGGCATCAGTCATAGTGTGGTTTCCCTCTAGTTAAGCTAACATACTGCGATTGTTCATTGAGGACCTTGAAGCACTCATCCATTTTGGATTAAGTCGAAGTTACAATGAAACAATCGTCTATATAGTGACAGTGCATTAGGGGATGTCGCGTCAATACAGGCTCTTCTATCTCGCTCATAAAGCAGATAGCAAGAACCGGTGCTAGTCTTTGCCCCATCGCCCCCTTACTTGTGAGTAAAAATTGCTCGACCATTTGAAGATGTTACATCCAAGGCAATCCTTAATAAGAGTGGTGATGCGCATTTTGCTGAGCCCGTAGTTTCCATACTTCCAATATTTATTTATTTGATACGCTCATAGGCGCGCCATTTGTTAGTGAACAGCAATATACAACGTTAATAAAGTTAGTATGACATCAAGAAGATTAGAAAAAACAGAAAAAAAACATGAAAAGGCGTTTGATAATCTCATGAAAAAAAATGCGGCGATGGAGAATTTCGATCAGCGCAGGTCGAAGAACAAGACTCGATGAATCGTTGTCGCCAAATTAACAACAGAGCTGGCAAGAATCAACGGTAGAAAGGAACGATCAGAAGACTCAACCTAAACATCAGCTATATGAAGTGTTCCAGTAAATTAATAGAGCCTAATTTCTTACGAAAAGAGTGCGTTTTTACTAGAAATAATTTCCTTAGGTAAAAGGCTTAACCATCTTGTGGTTCGGCAGAAATATGAATTGAAGGTTTGCAAAAAGCATTTTTTACCTAGCTTCCTGTAATGCAAATCAAACACACCTGTACGCTCTCCACTAGGCCTAAAGATCCAGTATTTACTGGCTCGTAATTTCGTTTCTAATTTTAGGATACGAAAACAGAGCCCTAAGACGCTAACAACACGTCTATACTTCAAACTACGCAGCTTTAAAACTGCAAGTCGAGCACCGTAGGACGGTAATGTGCGGGGGTATTGAGGGTCAGGGAAACATCTGTAAAAAACCATCCTTGTAAAAAATTTTTGAACTTTTTCGAGCTTCACCACATGCTTTGGACTCCAAACAGGTGAAACATAATCTAAATGAGGCAAAACATATGTTTTGTATAAACGCAAGAAAAGTTCAGGTTCATTACCGTGGATGCTAGTAGAAGCATAAACAGTGCTGCCAGCGACTTGGTGACGACCGAATCATAGTGTGTAGTAAAAGTGAGAGCATCATCAACAAAAACGCCCAAATCTTTCACGACGCTTCGATACTCAAGCTCAGTACCACCGCAGATAAATGACTTGAACTTGAGATGAGTACTGGTGTCGCCTAAGTGCATGACAAAGCATTTTGAAAGATTCAAAGGCAGATTTTATATCCCAGACCATAAATTCATTCTTTCCATGGAAGAAGAAAGGGCTTCGTAATCTTTCTCCCTTTCCTCTTTTCCATAGCAAGCGTATATCTTAAGATCATCGGCAAAAATCTACACATGTATTTTTGGGTCGGTTTTGATGAATGAGGGTAGGTCGGCTGTATAAATTAAAAACAAAAGGGGTGAGAGTATTCCTCCCTGCGAAACACCACTGCTGCACAAATATTTTTCTGAGTACATGTTTTTGACGCGCACGGTCATTCTACGTCCACTGAGATAGGATTCCAGCCATTTCAGCAGCTGACCACGGATACCTGCGCTTTCTAGTTTCAGCAAAAGTTTTTTGTGATTAACTCTGTCAAAGGCTTTTGATAAATCAAAGTAAATGATGTCCACACATTTCGCGGTGGTTCAGCGCTGTCATCCAATCGAAAACAGAATCGCAAAGTAGCGCAGTGGTTGATCCCCCAGGCAGGAATCCATGCTGTTCTTGTGGTATGATGTGATTTTTCTGCAGCCAGTCACTCACTTTATCATTAATGCTTTCTCTAATATTTTACCACAAGGCGGAGTAATGTATAGGACGAAAATTGGACAACTTGTTACTAGATGAGTTTTTTGGAATTGCAGTAACAAGAGCCTCCTTCCACAAATGGGGAACTTGGCCCATTGAAAGAGATGTATTATATATACATGACAGAGGAAGGCAGAGAGCTCGGGCACTTCTTGCACACAATCTGAGGAATTCCATCATACGAAATAGTCGTTGATGATTTCAGCCTAGGCAGAATCTCAAAAAGATGGTTGGGATGAAAATCACTATGTCACTGCATCTAGCAGAGATTCGTGGAATTGATGAAGATGGAAACCAAGTATCGTCCCCATTCCCATCACCTCCACCTCCATTTGCAAAGACAGAGGCAAAAAATCGTCCCAATGCTTCAGCTTTCTCTTCGTCCTTCATGAGAAGTGTGTTGTTCTCATCCATTAAGGATGGGAGCTTTTGCTGCTCTTTGCTATTTAGTTTTAGATATTGGTAAAGTTTTTTGAAGTCAGATCTAGCAAAACATCTTTCCCGATTGGCCAGAAATCTCCTGATGTGACGACTTATATCTGAACAGACTTTTCTATACAGATCATTTGTAAGAAGATCATGCATAGTAATAAAAAGCCTGCATTTTTGTTGCAGTGGATTGGTAATATGTTTGGGATAATGGCGAACGTGTGAGGTGCTGTAGCGAAAAGGTACAAAGTTCGCTAGAGCACTGTATATCTGATTACAAAAACGTTTGTATAAATCATCAATCGTCACACAATCATAAAAGATTGCTGGCCAATATATAAAGGAAAGACTCCTGTCCATGGCCGCATAGTTCGCACTGGAATAGTCAGGGTAAGGAAGAAATGTTGATTTATAAACATTGAAGTGGACTTGGAATGTAATCACATCCGAATTGTGATCCGAATTGCCAAAAAAAGGATCAATGTGAAACATCTTTGATGACGTCATCGGTTGACAAGATCAAATCAAGAATGAAATTTTCTCTTGTAATTTGTAACGTTTTGCTTAGGGGCGCAATAACTCAAAGACGACAAGAGTTTCTAATCGCAAGTGCTTTTATTGACTGCGCAAAAGTCCACATTGAAATCGCCCAGTATGATCGTGGGCAGTGGCCGAGAACTCTCATAAATAGTATCAGCCAACATTCTGTCATCACCAGCACTAGAGGAGGGCGGACGATATACTAGAATGAATCGAAAAGAAGAACTTGAAAAAGTGAATAGATATCCAAGCACAACAAGTCGGAAGTCATTTCATTGTTGAAGGAAACACACTCGACAAAAAGGTCATCTTTACAAGGCAACATACGCCTCCCCCTCTATTGCCGGTACGGTCGGAACGGTGTATCGAATAGGGGAGATCAGAGAGAATTTCAGAGCTAGAGATTCGCGAGCTTAGCCATGTTTCGGTAATGAAGACAATATCTAGTAGATGGAGCCACATAAAGGTTGAAGCAGATGAAGTTTATTTACCAAAACTACGAGACTTGAACATAAAACATTTCGCAAATGCACTTTGACCGGGCCTACTTATCAGTTTCCCTGCGCTAATCTCCTAGGTAACTCTGAAATACGTTTCAACTCACCTTTGTACACAACCCATTCTTTAATGGGCTTTCCTTGATTCAAATCGCGTGCTTGCCGACGTAGATGATCGAACTCTAGGCGCGCTCAAATGGGGTCATACTTCTGCGCACGAATACATTACACATACTAAAATGACGTAGACGATGTGCATTGGCTAGCGCATGGCCCAGTACGTACGTGTCGGGAAAACCACTTTGACAAGCCTGCAACGATTTTCATTGATTTTTC